AAAACATGCTTTGCACAGACCATTTGCACCACTTGTGCACCACTTGGCTGAACCTCCGTGGCTGCACACAGCTTCTCCATGTCCAAAATCTGCCAAGCAAAAAATGATGAAGGTCATGACGGTCATGAGTGTCATTTCATGTCATTTCCCCAAGAAGTTGATGAGTGCACCACTTAATTCCACCAGAAAAAAGGTTTGAAATCCCTGCTGGCTGCCAGGTGATCTCTGTGGTTCCAGCCACACTTCAGGCTGGAAATCACCTGTGTGTTTCCTCAAAGAAAACCCGTTGATTGATGATTGTTGATAAGAGGTTATATACATGGTTATACAAATTATACTGCCCAATATCTTGGGGATTATCACGATCCCGAGTTTCATGAAACTTCAACAAGTTCTGTGCAGCTAAGCTGAGCCTGCGGGTGGCGCCTTGCAGGGCTTTGATGCAAACTACGCGCACTACAACCGTGCTCGAGTGACTCGTCTTGGGGATGGCACCATTTTCTAACCCATAGGGCCATAGGGGCCATAGGGCCACAGTTGGGCCAGTTCCAATGGGCCAATGAAATTTACATCCACCAAGCCTAGAGCAAGGTCAGGACTGCTACATTTTGTCGCACATTGAGATGACATGACACGGCACGCACGTTAAGGTAAGCCGAGGAGATCCATCTGCTCGACCACTCTTCCTCCGGGTGGCTCCAAGTGTAGCCATGGTCCATGGTCCATTCAAAACAGCTTTTGTCGGTTTTGGATCAACGGCTCTCGTCATGGCAGTTCTGTTCACAGTAGGATACTCATATATATTTTATATAGTCATATAATATATATTATATATATAAGTCTTGTAGCAAAGGATTTTTTTCCCCACATCGCATTATTTTCGTTTGGAAGACTGGCAAAAGACTTTGCAGTGGGCTTCCCGCCAGCTGAAGCTGGATCTGCCATGAGGAACCAACGGGGCAACGAAGTGGCCTTTCAGTAGGGGCTCCCAGGAGGTCGAAGCATGTGGCAATCAACTAATGGTTGGTGGTACACTGCCTCAAAGTTTACCTGCTCGAAAGCAGGGCGAGTTTCAGGTCTACGGTGTTTTTGTTGCTTTGACCATGGTGTAGCTGCCTTCTCATAATCTTTCAATAGTGACGCTGTGGCTGCAAGTTGTTTCAATGTCGCACCATGTCCCACCTATGTCTTGCCGGTTCCATTTTGGGCTCGTGCATAGAGCAGCCCAGGCGACAAGGCCTGGGAACCCGAATCTTCCCACGCCATGCGCCATGGAATCCTTCGCATTCCGTGCTGCAGGCTCAGTAGAAAGAGAACTTGCTGATGGTGTGAAGGTCCAGAAAGGGAAAATGGAGACAGATGATCTCTGGGTGCAGTTGAAGAGGCAGACTGAGGAAATGGAGAATCGCATCCGCCGCTTGGCTGGCTGCGATAGACAACAAAGTGTGACGGCAGAAGAGCCGATTTTTGAAAAGAAGGAAGTTGCTGATAGTGTGGAGGTCAGGAGTGAAGCCAGTGCTTACAGGAAATCAGTCTCCCAAACCCACAGATCGGGAGGATGGACATTGATGACTTGCCGATTTCTGTTTGGGCTGGTCGCAGCGCGGCTTTTGATGCGAATGGTCTCCTGCGTCTCTCTTTTGCAGGCTGTAGCCACGCCAAGCAAGGTGTGGAAGTCCTTGAATCTGTGGGTGCGGCAGATGAGGAGACGACACCAAGAGACGACAAGATGAATGAAACTGCAGTCGCAATGGCAACTGCTGAGCATCCCTCACCGCTTGGTGTGGAGCAGAAGGCCGCTCAGGTCAGGAGATTGCAGCTGGCAAAGCAAAGTGGGGTGCCGAACATCGGGTGGAACTGCACAAACTTGGCATGGAAGGTCCGCTTTCCCAAAGTTGATTCCAAAGGGGAATTTATCAGCCAGACTTCACGAGAATTTGGTGTGAAGAAGTTCATGGCCCCAGGCCGCAGTAAGGCCGAGGCTGATGCAGCAGCTCTCGAGGCTGCGAAGGCCTTCCGCACAAAGCTGGTCGAGAAGGGCATCCTCAGAGAGCCCAGGCTGAAGGACCCCAACTTCACCAGCGAAGTCCTTGGGGTTTGTTGTAACAAGAAAGCAGAAAAGTGGAGAGTGCAGGTGGCCCTGAATTCAAGAAAACGAATGACAACGGCTGAGGGCAAGGCTCTTGAGCTTCGGGAGAAGCATGGCCTGCGGCGCCAGGTGAAGCCTGTGCCTACGCTGGCAAACTTGCCGGTGTTCCACCCCAAGTTGCCATACCCGGGGGTGGTGTGGAACCTGCGAGAGCAACAATGGCATGCCCAATGCCAAGTTGGTGGAGCCCATCGAAATTTCAGGGTGAAGCCCAAGGACCACTCGGAGGCGGAGCTGGAGCGCTCCTTCAAGGTGGCAGTCGCGTGGAAGAAAAAACAGGAGAAGGAGAAGCAAGAGATGGCGGTGAAGCCAAAGGCGAAGCCTCCGAAGACAAAGCGTAGGTGAGTGCAAAAGGCACAGATCCTAGATTTGCATGGCTTCTTTTCCAAGACCGTTGCAGTACAGACCATTCGCATAGAGCATGCTTCAAAAAGAACATAAAGAATCATCTCCAGTTGCCAGTCTTCGGGATCTTGAAATTGAGATCAATCATTTAGAATCATTCGGATTCATACATTGAAATTGAATGAAATTGATATGCTAGGGCCAGGGCCCGGTTCAGCATTTGGATGTCACTCATGGTTTCATCATTTGGGTAAATGTAGAAATGAGGTGTTTGCAGGGAAAAAACGCACATATGTTTTGTTGGTGTAAATACACATTTTGGTGGGTGATGCCAACAGCTACTGGTAGGTACTACATACAGAATATAGACACTGTAAAACAGATACTCTATATATGATCTTCCGTATGATACTCTATAATATATATTTACTATATATGTATATATATATCTATACATATTTACATGTACTAATGGTTTAGGACGCGGCGGACACTTTTTGTATCCTCAGCTTTTCGCGCGCGCTCTAAGATGAAGCTGACCGACACGTGGTCTTCTGAGCATCTCGGCAGAAAGGGCCTGCTGCTGTCGACGTTTCGTGACATTTTTGCTGGGTGATCAATTTGTATTGTACATTTTATGTATAACACCTGATGCATGACATCTTGAAAAGTAAGTATAATCATGTATTATATATATATGTAATTATATGTATATATATATATGTATGTATGTATGTAAGTATGTATGTATGTATGTATGTAATTAATGTATGTATGTATGTATGTATGTATGTATGTATGGAATGTAGTAATGTATGTATGTATGTATGTATGTATGTAAGTAATGTATTAATGTATGTATGTATGTAATGTAATGTAATGTTATGTAATGTAATGTAATGTAATGTTATGTTATGTTATGTTGTGTTATGTTATGTTATGTTATGTTATGTTATGTATGTATGTATGTATGTATGTCATATAGATTAGATATGATATAACATAACTATATGTATATATATATGTATATATATATAGCAAATACACATCCCAGCCAGTAGAGTAGCAGATTTTTCCCCACATCTGGCAGGTTTTTCGAGGGCCAAAGATCTGCGAGGGCCAGGAAACCCAGGAAGTTTTCGCAAGCTCAGCTGTGGCCAAGCAGCTGCCATGAGATTTTCACCCTTCCCAGAGGGTTTCAGGCTGGTTATATCCAGAGATTGAACATTTAAGCCAAATATGTGTTTGAATAAATTTCCTCTGAATAGCTTCTTTTTTCATGTCCAACAAATTTAAATTCAACTATCACGGAAATTTCATATCATTTTTTTTTTATGTTGTTTTTTTTCAATTCAACAAATGATGTTGGTGTTTTTTTTGGCATCGCTGAAGCCTGAAACATCCTGAAAGCCAGGTTGGCGAGGAAAGTCCGGCGGCTCAGAAGCCAGGGTGGGTAAATTGATCAAATGGGCCGCTGCAAAATGGCTGAATTGGGTGATTCTCAGTAAATCTTGGGCAAGTGGTTGCACTTTGTGAGTCCATTGGTGCCAGGTCCAAGCGAGGCGGGGCGGCTACATTTGGGGGAGATGGAATGGTGCCTGACAAACCCAAAAATGAGCCATGCATGACAAACCTCCAACTGAGGATAATTTATAGTTCGCTTTGGCAGATTGGACCTTAGAGAGATTTTTTTCAGGATGCAAAGTGATCAAGAACCACTCTTTTTGAGATCAAGTCATGGCTTGAAACACAAGCAGTTTGTTTGCTACATTGTTCTTGTTTTAAACAAAATCTCCCAACAATTGGAGACAAACTTGTCATATGGAGCATATTCCATTTGTGGCAATTCGACACTTTGTCAGGTTAGCAGTTTAGAGCCTATGGGCTATGTCGCCAAATTGTGGGGCAGCCAAGGGACTCAACTATACCAACAGAAGTTTACAGGTATATTTTCATGGTTATCTTCCAGGTGCTGGGCTGTTCTGTCGTTGGTGCTTACTTCCTGTACAAAGGGACATCCTTTATGTTCATTTCTTCAAAATAACATGGTCAGTTTGGGTATTCCAGATTTTAAGACCGTAGTTTGTAGATATGCAGTCCTGTCAGGTCAGGTTGCGCCATTGTAGTAGCGCCCATTTGTCACAGGGGTTCATCCGCTTCTGATCATTTCATGTGTTCATTTGACTTGTGCTGAATGAAGAGTAACCAGCCATCACAGTCCCATTCTCCGCACACCAATCACCGCTCAGCTGTTCCCAATGTGGTGGCCGCATCCAGCCAATGTTCCAGTTTTGCCCGGGAGCCCGGAAAATTTGATGATCCCAGCTGCAGTGCATGGGACCAGCTTCGGAGCCGTGCTTCCGAGAGATTTGACTTTCGACCCATGTGAACTTTGTGGGGATCTGACCTCAACATGACCAAAACAGATGACAAGATGTAGATGGGCGAATTCACTAGCCATATTCATGGCGTTTTGCCAATTGGAGTTTACTGGAATTCTAGGCACTGTTTCAAAACCTGGTTGGACAGTTCCCCATTCCTGGAGTTGTGCCTGGGTCCATTACTGTCAGAAGGCTCCGAGATTTCGGTTATCACGATGATTTTTCGACCTTCGGACATGTCTAACTACTTTGTTTTGGAAGTGCAGGTTGCAAGAGTCTGCAAACTATTGTTTTTTTCCCCTCTTGTTGGCTCTCCGGCCTCTACTGTCGGCTTGGAGAGATTTCGGAAACCAAGCATCAGCGTAGCAACAAGTCGTTGCAAGCATAGCATCAAGTGAATGAGATTCTGAGAGCGTAGCATCACATCAGCAAAGTTGCAATGAACGTCAACAGATCCCCCCAACTCCCCCCATCCCATCCACCCTGTCATGAACGTAGCAAGCCAAAATGGAAGTGTAGCAAGTGAGGCCCAAGCTGTGGCATTGCTCTTGATTTTGGCGCCTGACCGACTGGCTGCTAGTTCTGCGAGTGTGGCACTCAGTGCTAACTGTGTCGATCCTGACACACCATAAGTTGACCTTTTACCCCCTCCATTGTCTAGCCCACCTCTCTTTATTTGATTCGTTTATGTATCTATTTGTTTTATACACATGTTTCTCAGTAATATATAATTAGTAATAATAGTAATTGATAGAATATATACATGCATATTTTTGAGTTTCTATGTCTAGAGAATGGCAGCCACTAGCATGACAGTCAGCCAGCCATCTCCTTACGTACTTGGCCTCGATCTGCTAGATGGCTTTTTTGATCAGTCCTAGGTTGGTCAAGCGAATCGCCTCATGTCGTAGGCCCCTGCTTTGCTGCTGTTTAGGATTGTCAGTTTGGAAGACAATGGAGTGATACAGATGTAATATGCTATGACATCTTCATATAAATTCCACGTCACATGGGTAGCATCGCAATGTAGTCAATGGAATGCCTCAGGAACTGCATTCTTGGAGATGTTGATACTGTTGATGGAGATGTTGGACATTTCGAGCATGTTCAAATTTCGCTGAAACTCTGCTCTGTCAGGTTATTCCGGCGCTATGTTAAAGCTTCATGGTCATTGTCAAGTGGCTGACTACTGCACACGCTGATTTTCCATATGCTGTATGCAGCCACTGGCAATGGGGCCTCTGCAATGCTCTCGTGGGAGACGGCACTTTGAACGGATGGAACAAAAACCGTGTTCACAAACCACTTTCAATTGAAGCCACTCGACACGGCATCTCTGTCTAGATTTTTCGGCTTGCCAGATGGATGGCTTCAAAATTCACTTGGGCCACATTTCTGGGAGATGTTTAGTGATCGAAAACATGTATCTGCAGTTCTGGTGTTTGAGGTAAACCTTTTGGACCCTAAATGATCGTTGGACTGCAAACCGAGTGTTGGGACAGTTTTGAAGATATTCAGAAGAGCCATTGCAGAGGTTCAAAATTCACGAGACGGATGGTGCAATCGTCTCATTTGTTTGTATATAAGATCTAGGCCTTTTGAAGGCAATTTGTGAAGGATACGCGGATGCCGCTTCTTTTCAAGATACCAAAGGTGGAGGTCCAACTGAGGCCAATCCGCACATCCTTCTGCAGGCCCTTTGTGCTCACACTGGCCAGCTAGAGTGAGTGTCTGAATTGTTTGTAATGATGACACAATGGGTTGGGCTGTGAACTCAAAACCCTCTTTGGATAATTGGGGAACGTATCAGAAATCCGTCACAACCCATTTTTTCGGGTGCGGGACTGTCGTCGGCGGTTGACGAGCCGTTCGTGACAGATGTCTCCCGGATCATGTCATCATTTTGGTGTAGAGTCATGGCATGCATTGAATGGAAGCCTCCACCCACACAGACAGAATTCATGCATTTGATGTAGATTCGAGCATCAAGTAAACATTGGTTGTATCGAACGAGCTGCAGGCATAGCTTCTGGATCCAATTGAGTTGTGGCCATCAACCTTTCATCTTCGTTTGCTCCAGGGTGTGACGCTTCTGAATTTGAGTGATCTATCGTTTTCCCACATGGCAACTGCGAACACGCGCGACAGCTGTGGACGTCCCAGACAGTGAACCGTGCTGGGGAAAAACAAAAGCATGGTGAGAAGCACTGATGTTGAAACCCTTGAGACAGATTTTCTGCATTTTTCAAGTAGGCAGGAGTCAGAAGTAGAAACTAAGGCCATAATTTATCATAATTTTTGTTATTTCATGAATTTCAGGCTATTATTTCATTTATCATATTATATCATATTATATCATATTCTTCAAAAATTCAACATCAAACCATCCATATTGTCCAACCAAGACCTTTGTTCCCCAGCTGAATCGCCTTGTTGGCCAACTCCCACATGGCCAGCTGGCACCGACCGTTGGCTCAGTACGGCTCTGACCTTTGGCTGTGCAAACTGAGAGGGGCAGCGCCGCGGCGGCCTCGGAAGTGGATGGATGGGATGGTTATGCCCCCACTCATAGGGGTTGATCTGGTTGATATTTTGATGTGTTGACCATTCATAGGGGTTGATATTAGGGTGAAGCATTTTTCCAGGAATCCCTAATGATTGGTTAGTGAGGGATGAAGGAAAAGATGAAGAACACGGACGATCACGGGCAAGTTAAAAGAAGAGAGGAAATAGAGAAACGAAGAAATTGAATGGACAACACCAAAGGATGAGGGGCTACCAAATGCAGCAGGCACAAACTCCGTTGATGCAACTGCAAAAGTGGTCCAGAACCGATGCTCAAGGTGAATTATGGCGATGGGCTATGGTCCTATCTTCAGAGAGCCAGTTGACTTGTTGCCGCCATCCTTCTCTCACGACCCCAGTAACTTCAATTTGATGCACCCTGACTTTCGGTTGCTACCAATCCAGGTGATGCCTCACCCGTATCACCCCGGACTCCGGGGCAATACGCAGCCGGCTTTGCGATGGGTTTGAACGAGTCATGCTGGCGCGGCTTTTTGGAGGTGCTGCGCCGGAAAAACACCTCCACGTTGAAATCTTCCCACTCGGCCAGGTCTGTCCATGACAATGTGGTCGGGGCCAAAGCATTTCTTCGTCTTTGTCTTGCTTGAGCCTGGTCAAATGTTTGCAGAAAGTCTGAATTTCATACTGATCAGTTGGGATTACCAAGATCAACCTCTGTTTAGCACCAGTTCAATCATTTTTTCCCACTCTGGGCAGACTGAGTTGCTGGGAGTGTTTCACAAATTCTGTCACCTAGTACTGCATCGGGAAGCCCGATGCCTGGAGTGGTCCACCATGCACCTTTTGTTCCAGCGCCCCCTCTTCTGCGATCTTTGGTGCCCTTGAGCTGTTTTAGTAGATATTTACAGATTGCGGTGGCCAACCTGCAACCTTGTTCCAGTACATACTGGCACGGCGCGAGGATCCTCTCCAAACAAAAAAACGAGCCAGTTTATCGTTTTAGATTTTAGACCCTCTTGATATCTTTTGTTTTTGCATGACTTGAATCGTGGCTGGAACTTCCCAGACTAAAATGTTGGCACGCCGTTCACCCAAGCGTCATCGAAACGTCAAATCACGATGGGTTCAAGAAGAGCATTGGAACCGCAGACAATAGCAAAACCAATCAACAACTGATTGCGAAACGTGTGCAAAGCGGAAATCTTATCGCCCACATGTGAGTTTCTGGGATAGCCGATAGCCGTCCGACGATGTGTCTTTCAGATCCTTAAATCCTTCAGTGGCTCAATACCCTGCCAAATCTGCCAACACCCGGATGACCCATATGAATCCATATGATTTCTGAATCATGTAGAGCAGAATGTCCTATAATTCCAGAGATTTGAGAGCCTTTTTTCTTGCGCTACTCTGCCATGCCAAGTTTGGCTCGCCTCGTGATAGCTACACAGATAGGCGCCGCTGAGAGCCGCCTTTCCAGGGGCCAGGCTCCATTGACATCCACGGCGCAGGCGTTGCATCAACGTTGACATGGACTTGGGTAGAGGCTTTTACAGAGGCCCTACTGGATGACTGGTGGATGTGGTCACCTGGAAATTGGGACTCCCCAAGTCCCTACTGAAAATATGCATTACAGAATTGTGAAGCCTGGCGTCATTGTTCCGTGAAAGAATTTGAGATGTTGACTGACGTTGGACTCGGGCTTATGAGCTTCTGACAGCTACCTTTGAACGATACTATTTCAAGTATCGGCAAATGCGCTTTGTTATTCAGGGTTTATGTTGCAGCATTTTCTTGGTTCTGCCTGTGGGTTGCAGATGCATAAAAGGGGTCTCTAGTTTGACTTGGTGGTGAAATCTGAATCGACCTACACTTGATGGTTGGGTTCGGGACAATTGGCAGGCTTTCTATTTCCATGCCATCTAAATCATCTAAGATTACGGATACTCCTTCCTTGGGGGGGCCAGAGGGGTATGTTAAGGAATCGGGAAGCTTCAAAATCCACCACATACATTAATCAAACATAATCAAACTGATGGGTATTGATACAGACACAAACCATCACAAACCCATTGGTTTGGGTACGGTATCACTGGGTATCACCCATTTTTGGAGACCTTGCCGGTCCGGCCCCTCGATCGACAGGTCGTAGCCCCTCGCCCAATAGCCCTGGGACAAAGTCTGAAGCTTGGTATTTTTGGGCATTTTTGGACATACTGAATCCATGTAGCCCCAAATCATCCCAAATCTAGTGAAAGTCTTGGAGGGGAAGCCTGCAGCCAGAACAGTGTGATATGGATGGTGGGGACATTGATCTTCCCTTGCGGACAGCTTCCGAGTTTCCGTCCCAGATCCCAATTTTGTTGCAAGTTCTCCAAATTTAAAACCCAGGTTTGAGAGGTTGCGATCTCTACAGGCTGAGCGTTTTGGCGTGGTGTTTGCTGTGTGTCCAGACGTGCGCAGCTTCAAGTTTACACATCACATCTGCTTGCCTCTGACACAGTATACTATACTTCTAAATGGATCTAAATGGACATTATGGCATATTGATACAAAACTAAACCATACTAAACCATGCTAAAGCTACAATCCATGGATGGTCACCGGCTTGAAACTCCTAGCGCAGGTGCTGGAAAAGCCTTTCCTGGACTTCTCCCTGGACGTTGTGCCATGCCGAAGGCATTCACCGGCACCCCAGAGACATGACCCACGCAACGAGATCCTGCAAGCCCTTGATGCACATGAGCCAGGGCCTAAAGGAAGTCCTTTCTTTGGTGTCAACGGATGTCATTGATGTCATATAAAATTTAGGAGTTTCATGGAGTTTCTACACATTGCCAAACAACATGGTGGGGAAACAACCCATCGACTTGTTGTTAGGCTGCTTTCTTAGTTAGCTATTTCGTTGGTTAGTTAGTTTAGTTTAGTTTCGTTTAGTTTAGTTTAGTTTAGGTAGTTGGTCAGCAGTTAGGGTTACTTACTTCACTTACTTCCTTAGTTCGGTACTCATTTTGTCAGCCTTCCTATTGACCAAGGCACACCGCCATCCTTGGCCGCCGAGCCGCTTGGGACTGGTGATGGGATGGTGGGGGAGCTAACCAACAAGATCCAACAAAAATGGGTTAAAACATGGGGTTTTTATAACTCATAAACTGTATATGATACTATAATCATATTATAACTTTATATACTTTTATACTATACAGTGATTAAAACTTACACTCTTCAAAAGCGGTTGGGCACATTTTTCATAGATGATTCTTGACGCCATTGATGAAGAGATTATCATACACGTCACCAGTCTCATCGGGCAGAAAACACATTCAAAGCGACTTCCCAGGTGCCAATTGTTCGCCCTGGTGTGGGAACCCAGAAGAAAGGGCTGCAGCTGTTGACCCAGTCATTGGGGTTTCGAAGGTGCCAGCCTTGGTTCAGGCGGATATGAGTCGGTATCTCCTCGTTCACGCCGTGCGCGCTCCAGAGGTCGATTTCCTTCCATACAGCAGTGTGGTGGGTGAGACAGTTGGGAATGACCACCATTTATTTGGATGGGTAAACACTATTGGTCACCATTATTGGATCGGTATCGGAAAACATCAAACATCGTCAGGATTTTTGTAGCTCCACGGCCATTTTTGAAAAATGGCTCGCAGGTCCACCTGTGGAAGGTGAAGACAGTCCAGCGAGTCCCACGTGCCCTGGATCGGGATGAAATTCTATTTATTCATGGCTCTATAAACATCTATAAACCATATGTTTAGGGGGATGCAGCTGCAGAAATCCCAAAAAAATGATGTGAGGGGTAGAGGATTTCTGCCTCATCCCCACACCAGGTATGAAGCAGTGTCGCCGAAGAGGAGCAAGGCACAGATGCGCCAGCATCGTATTCATAGTGGCATACTCAAAATGGCGGTTTTTCATGGGGAAATATACATAATGTATTCATAATGTGGTAAACCCAATAGTAAACCATCCCCAAATCACCATAAATGGTATGAACCGTCCCCAAATGGTAAGTTTATGGCATTGGGTTGCCCACATGAAAGCCGCCCTTTTTGGGGTTGCCGCCATGAGCAAAGTGATGAACTTTTGTGAGGCCAAGGATGATCCAAAGAGGGCGATGCAGAAGAGTATTCGTCGTCCTTAGCACCCAGTGAGATTGGGACCGTTTGGTGCACAGGGGAGCCCAGAGGCATGGCCCTCCCTGGACAACACATCGATTATGATTGCTATTGTCACTGTAGTAGTATTGGCAATTCTTTGAAATAACTATTATTATTGTAACAATAACACTATTTAAATTTCTATTATTATTTTTGTCATTATTTATAATTGATAATAATTATTGATAAAACTTATTGATTATTCTTCATATTACAAATCTTGCAAAATTCCACTTTTGGGAGCCTAACATTTTTTGAGACGCACAGATGTTGAGGCCTGGATACAGCTGCTGCCAAGCTGGAAAAGGTGGCGAAGGCCATTTTCGAGCCCAGGGCGATGGGGAACCTTTCAGACCTCAGCTCCAATCCATCGAAGCCCGTGCCAACCGTGCCAGGCACTCGTTGAGGAAGCACAAAAACAGCCGCGAACTGAGACATGGCGCAACGGGGCATGGCTTGGGGCACTTGGCGGCAACATGCAGTTTGGACCGGTTTGGACCTGGAGGTCTTTGAAGAAAGTGGCATGAAGGCTGGAAGGTTCCTGGATGAGTTTCCAAGGGAATATTTGACCGTAATCCAATATGTTTGTGTTTCAGAAAGCATGGGTGTATCACTTTGGATTTGTGGCAGGGATGGCAGGCAGCTGAAATTTTGCTTTCACAGCTGTTCATCCTACGCTTTTAGCAGCATGACAAGTTAGTTTTTGTGAGGTCGAAGAACACTTGTCAACTCGAGCATATGTTGGCTCTGTCGGCAAAACACATATCATTTTTCTACACAGAGCACAGGCAGAAACCTAACCGATGCTGAACCTGGGTCACTCTGAGCTGACAGGCATTCCTGCCATTATGCCCTTAGAGCCGGAAAAACAGGCCAGGTTTATCGCTTCATCATCTTTATCGCTATGTGCACGATACTCTTTTGAACCTCAGTAAATGACCATCAATACGGATATACGGATATACTGATATACTGTGTGTATATATATAAGTATATATATATACGATTATATACGTATATATATATATATATATGTACGTATATATATATATAAATACATATATACATATATACATATATACATATATACATATATACATATATACATATATACATATATACAGATACATACATACATACATACATACATACATACATACATACATACATACATACATACATACATACATACATACATACATACATACATACATACATACATACATACATACATACATACATACATACATACATAATACATACATACATACATACATACATACATACATACATACATACATACATACATACATACATACATACATACATACATACATACATACATACATACATACATACATACATACTAACATACTAACATACTAACATGCATACATACTTACATACATACATCCATCCATACATACATACATACATACCTTACATTACATTACATTACATTACATTGCATTGCATTGCATTACATTACATTACATTACATTACATACATACATACACGTATATACATATTTCATCATATATACACCCACTATAAGAATTCCCATTGTGGGATGGATGACCATACCACATTCATCCGATTTTTAATTTTGGACCACTTCACACATGACATTGCTCAGGAATTTCTAGACTCACAAGGGCTTTCCTCCTTGCCAGGTGGAGTCGTTGGAAGATTCCAGTGCTGTGGGTGTTTCAGGGTGCACCAGCACCCATGGCCATAGGACCAATAGCTACAGAAGATACATCACTGCAGTCACTGTCCATTTTGATCCAGCTCCGTCTTAGGTGTCGGGAACTGAAGAAGCACTTTGCTTTTCTTTCCAGGAGCAAGTAAGTCCACTGTATAAAGTTGCCATCCCTGAACCTGCACATATTATTTACACACAACAGACTGTTCTCCCAATGTAAGTAGGGTCCTGGTGGAAAAGGCTCAACAGGTATTTTTTCAGCTACCATTCTGAATCTGGTCTGCAGCAAACCGCTTGCGTTGTGGAATGATGTGTTTAGCAATCTCCATCACTGATAGCTTGCTATTTGCTTCCAAGATGTTCAAGTGTTGGCTGAGTAGCACCTTTAAGTAGGAAACACCCACAGCACACTTTTCAATTTGCCATGGCGCGCAAGTTTCACCAAAGGCCGGGGGGAACTTCGGACTTGGTGGAACCCGAAGACTAAGCAACCGGAAATAATGTCACACACATCCACAAAATTCCACACATCTGTATATGATACAGCCTGATACAGCTGCTCAGATGAACCAGAGTGCTTTTGGAGGCCCCTACAGGGCGTGCAGTAAGAATCGTAACATTTTTTATGGCAGCAGTTTTCAGTGACTCGGCTCACAGAAGACACACATCCTTGTGGAACTCCAAAGACCAGGTGCTTGCGCGAAGTCCACTGAAGTCTCAGTCTTTGCCTCGGCAGAGAACGGTCAGGCCGTAGCAACGACCTTTGCTCTCTTGTTCATTTTTTCAGGATATGCGGAAAAAGAGCAACCATCTCCAATTTCATCCAAAATGGTTTGTATATGATCACGAAAGTTAGCTGTGCTAGCTGAAGTTGCTCTTGCTTTAGCAAGGAATAGGCAGGCACCAGGACCATTGGAAACCCTGAAACTTTCCAGTTAGACCCCTCCGTACGATGGACAGTTCGAGGCTATTTGGCAGTTAGCAGCTACCGCTATGTGTTTACCTATTTTGATATATCACAAGTAGGCACTGAAGGCCGCTGAAGGCGCTCAAGGCGCTCAAGGCGCTGAAGGCGCTGAAGGCGCTCAAGGCGCTGGAGGCGCTGGAGGCGCTCAAGGCGCTGAAGGCGCTGAAGGCGCTCAGGGCGCTGAAAGCGCTGAAGGCGCTCAGGGCGCTGAAGGCGCTGAAGGCGCTCAAGGCGCTGAAGGCGCTGAAGGCGCTGGAGGCGCTGAAGGCGCTGAAGGCGCTCAGGGCGCTGAGGGCGCTCAGGGCGCTGAAGGCGCTGGAGGCACTCAGGGCGCTGAAGGCGCTGAAGGTGCTCAGGGCGCTGAAGGCGCTGAAGGTGCTCAGGGCGCTGAAGGCGCTGAAGGCGCTCAGAGCGCTGAAGGCGCTGAAGGCGCTGGAGGCGGTGAAGGCGCTCAGGGCGCTGAAGGCGCTCAGGGCGCTGAGGGCCCTGAAGGCGCTGAAGGCGCTCATGGCGCTGAAGGCGCTGGAGGCGCTGAAGGCGCTCAGGGCGCAGAGGGCGCTGAAGGCGCTGAAGGCGCTCAGGGCGCTGAAGGCGCTGAAGGCGCTCAAGGCGCTCAGGGCGCTGAGGGCGCTGAAGGCGCTGAAGGGGCTCAGGGCGCTGAGGGCGCTCAGGGCGCTGAAGGCGCTCAAGGCGCTGAAGGCGCTGAAGGTGCTCAGGGCTCTGAAGGCGCTGAAGGCGCTCAGGGCAGAAGGCGCTGAAGGCGCTCAGGGCGCTGAAGGCGCTGAAGGTGCTGAGGGGGCTGAAGGCGCTGAAGGCGCTCAAGGCGCTGAAGGCGCCAAATAAACGTTAATCGTCCATAGCACCGGGCAACACCCCCCCTGCGGCCCCCTCCCCCACCCTCCCCCACCCTCCCCCCACGGGCTCCCCCCCAACCCTCCCCCAACCCTCGCCCCCCTTCCCCCTGTCAGGCACCAGGTTCGATCCCCCCGTTCCCCATCCCCTCACCAATCACTCATCATCTCATCATTTGCGGAGTGCGGTCATCGTCATCGCTCGTATCGTCATCGTCATCGTCAATCAATCGGGATCATCATCATCATCAACGCAATCATCATCTCATCATCCTTATCATCATGCTCACAATCATCATCATCATCAATCACCATCATCAATCATCATCATCAACGGTCATCCTTTTCCAACAGCAGGGCCTGTTGGGTTTCAATCTCTAGGGCTGGGGCTGGCTCGCGGGGACTTGCAGCCTTCAAAATCCGGAATGGAACCCTGGAACCCTGGAACCCGGGAACCCGGGAACCCGGGAACCCTGAAACCTTGGAACCCCGGAACCCTGGAACCCTGGAACCCTGGAACCCTGAACCCTGGAACCCTGGAACCCTGGAACCCCGGAACCCTGGAACCCTGAAACCCTGGAACCTTGGAACCCTGCGACCGTGGAACCCTGAAACCTTGGAACCTTGGCACCCTGGAACCCTCAAGGATTCTGGAACCCTGCAACCTTGGAACCCTGCAACCCTGCACACCTGGCACCCTGCTGGGATCCTGGAACCCTGAAACCCTGGAACCATTGGAACCATTGGAACCCTTGGAACCCTGGAAACCCTGGAAACCTTGGAACCCTGAAACCGTGGGACCCTGGTACCCTGGTACCCTGGTACCCTGGAACCCTGGAACCCTGAAACCTTGGAACCCCGGAACCCTGGAACCCTGGAACCCTGGAACCCCGGAACCCTGGAACCCTGGAACCCTGGAACCTTGGAACCCTGCGACCGTGGAAGGCACCCAGGAACCCTCAAGGATTCTGGAACCCTCTGGGATCCTGGAACCCTGAAACCCTGGAACCCTTGGAACCCTTGGAACCCTGGAAACCTTGGAACCCTGAAACCGTGGGACCCTGGTACACTGGAACCTTGGAACCCTTGAAACCCTAAAACTTCCAAACCCTAAACTCTATGCGCGCTGCGCGCGCTGCATGCAATAAAGTAAACCCTAAAACTTCCAAACCCTAACCCCTAATGCGCGGTGCGCGCGCTGTGTCCCAGAGAAGTAAACCCTAAAATTTCCAAACCCTAAACCATCGTGTTATGCAACTTCCAAACCCTAAAGTTTAACCCGCGGTGTGCGCGCTGCATGCAATAAAATAACCCCTAAAACTTCCAAACCCTAAACCCTAATGCGTGCTGTGCGCGCTGCGTGCCAGAGATAAACCCTAAAACCTTCAAACCCTAAACACTAATGCGCGCTGCGCGCGCTTCGTGCAATAGAAATAAACCCTAAAATCTTCAAACCTGAAACTCTCGTGTCATAGAGGTAAACCCTAAAATTTCCAAACCCTAAACTCTAAACCCTAACGCGCGCTGCGCGCGCTGTGTGCCATAGAAGTACCCCTTAAAATCTCCAAACCCTAAACCATCGTGTCATGGAGGTTAACCCTAAAACTTCGAAACCCTAAAGTTCAACCCACGCTGTGCACGCTGCATGCAATAAAATAAACTATAAAACTTCCAAACCCTAAACCCTAATGCGCGCTGCGCGCACTGCGTGCCACACACATAAACCCAAAAACTTTCAAACTTTAAACCGTAACGCGTACTGCGCGCACAGCCTGCCATAGAGGTAAACGGTTAAACTTTCAAACGCTGCGTGCCATAGAGGCAAAGCCTAAAACTTTCAAACGCTAAACCGTAAAGCAGGCTGCGCGCGCTGCGTGCCATAGAGTGCCCCTCAAAAGTGATTACATGTCATACTTTAGTGGCATCCTCCAAATTCATTAGTCAGCCTTTGTTAATCCAGGGCCCATTTTACACATGTCATCTTCTTGGTCGTGGCGCCATTTCAGGATCACACTGATGACCTAAGCTTTGGCCTTAACTATTATGCAGGCAAGCGACATCAGCACTCTATGGTATTGGAAGACACAGGGTTTGCCCGTAGACCAACCAAAAAATCGATTTTCCACACTGAACAATTGGATTTAACACATTTAGAATAGGAGCTCCGCCTGATTCAGATTTCATCACTTAAAAGGTACCCATGCCTGACTAGCCTTCATGACTTAAAGCGTAACCACACCCGACTTAAGGGAACCATGCCTGACTAGCCTTCATAATTAAGAGGTGCCCACCCACGCCTGACTTAACAGAACCCATGCCTGACTAGCCTTCATAATTAAAAGGTACCCATGCCGATGCCCCTGAATTCAGGGAACCATGCCTGACTAGCCTTCACAATTAAAAGGTACCCACTGGAACCATGCCTGACTAGCCTTAATGACTTAAAAGGTAACTACACCTGACTTAATACCTGATTTACTGGTTTTGCCTGATTTTGGAAAAACGCAGGGCCGGAATTTGCAGGGCGCGGGCCGGAATTTGCCGGGCCCGGGCTGGAATTTGCCGGGCTGGGATTTTGGGGTCGTGCCTAAATAGGATTTTTGCAAAAATCGTGCATGACTGAAGGGAACCATGCCTGACTAAACATCATACCAATCATCCCAAAAGAATCCAATAATTCCAGCAAGTGATGCCTGACCAATCCCTGCGTCATAATAAACCGTCTGCCCCTCCCCACCCAATAATGAACACACGGAATAGTTTTTTGTATTTAGTGGGTATTTAGTATGAGGGTGCGAAACTTCCCCCTTGGTAAAAAATAAGCCGACGTAGATCCCCAACAGCGGTTGGTTTCAAACAGTGGTCCAACTTTGCAACCCAAGACGGATTAATGATGGCAGGAACAGGATTCCATAGCCTAAGTCTCTTCGGCGATTTTTTGCCCGCCCTGCCCCGTCCCCTTTTGGACCAAAGGCAAGATGAGACATGTTCTTTAAGAAAGCGCGCATAATTGAATTTACAGACATTTGGTTACAAGCGAATGGCAGTATTTGCAGACCACGGTGTGTCATTAAGTGTTTACAAAATTGTGTGTGTGTTGGTTTGGGATTATCTTGTCGTGCTTGGACAACGTCGGTCAGTTTGCGCAAGTGATTGGTGAAACAGTTGGTTTTGGCCAAATTGTCCATCATGATTCCAGAATTAGTTTCATGTCA